TGGTTGGGGGAGTCGCAGAGTCAGATGGAAACCCCTCAGTGAGGGAACAGGAAAGGGGAACTGCCCTAAGCATTGGTGGGAGAATGGCCCACAATGGAGGGACACTAGGACATGAGAGCAGAATTAAACCCATCCCAAGGTCTAGACTAGTGGTAGTGAACCTACATCATGCATGCCAAAGTGGGCTGTTCGTCTCACTGAAAGCTCTAAAAGGTTTGCCATCACTGGTCTAGACGCTGGACCAGGTGGCTCCTTGGAGCACCCTGCCTTTGCTGAGAGAGCTTGCCAGATTCTGTGTGGGTGGATCTCAGAACATTAAAGGAAGGGATAGAACTCGAGAGGGGGATAACGTTACAGAACCCCTGGCCAAGATGAAAAAGGGGAGCGTCCTCCCCTGGGTCCCAGTGGTTGTTGATCTTAGTTCTAACCACACTGACTGGCCACCTTTGAGGAGCCCCATCGCCAGAGCACCAGACAAAAGGAAGAGCTGGGTGAGACAGAACCTAGTGTGGTCCCCACCAGGGCCCCCCAGAGGGTCTCTAGCAAACAGCTCTACAATGTACCAATCTGCCCATGGCATCTAGGTAGAAAGTGCATCCATCTGCACACCTAGCCTGGAGTCTTCTCTCTTAATCAAACTGTCATTGTGAGTAATAATTATACCTTGGGAAACAGCAGAGTGACTCAAAACGCAGTCCCCTCCCCCAGGCCACCCCCTCACCCCCGCTCAAAGCTTTGCACACAGTATGAAGAGGCCCAGAAAAGTGAAGCCACCATTTCCTCCCTCCTCTCAGCCCTCTGAACACTAAGTGATCACCCGGATCCCAGTGCCTGGTGGGCATCAGTCCACAGTCTCTCTGGAGGCTAAAGCACTAATTGAGCCTGACTGCACCCAAGCACAGTGGACTGGGGAAGAGGAGGGCAGAAGTACGTGCTGTTATGTGCCTGCTGCATGTGTGTGAAGCAGCACTCAGGGATGGTGCCTTTCTCTCTCAGAAAGTGGCCTAAATCCTAGGGAGTAAAAAATAGTACTTCCCACAAGCTCAGATATAGCCAAAAGTGTCAGAACACAGGAGAGCGGACCCTTATTCGGAACCTACTGTGTGCCTGTCATCAGACTGAATGCTTTATATTTTACATAATAGAGATCAGTAAAGCACCAGGCTATGTGAGATGTTAAAATATTGGAATAATGGTTCCATACTCATTGGTCTAGGTCCACAGCCTCAGACCCCTGGCCTCTTCCACCCTCACACTCCCTGTGACCCAGCACACAACGGGGTGACCCATCCTGCTCAGGGTGGTGGCTAGCGTCATCATTCAGATGTTGAGCATTACTTCGGTGCATACCATCTCACTCCCGCACCAAAGCCCTGTCACCATCCCCATCTTACAGAGGAGGATGCCCAGGCTGCATGGCCTGCCCACGGCTGTGCGGGGAGGGAGACCCAGGCTGGGGCTGGAGCCCAGGCATGCTGACTCTGACACTGGATTCCTGGCAACCTGACTCCTAGGGCAGAAAATGCATGTCAGTGTTGGCAGTTCCTCTGCTCTTGATCTTTTGCCCTGAAACTGGTCCAAACTACAAGAAACACCTGATCACCAAGCCAGCCAAACTGCTCTTCCCCACCCATGCCTGTCACAACTGTGCATCTCTGCTCCCATCACTTCTCAGGTGACCACCTTGGAGTCCCAGTCACTGGGGGCCAGGGCCACAGGGCCTCAAGGCATGTGGCAGCAAGGACAGAGAGACCCACCAGGCAGGGTCATCCCGGGGATGTGGATTTTCCCAGGGTCTGAACCATGAGATGTGGACACAGGCTGCGGGGAGGGGCTGGGCTGACAGGCAGTGTCGGTGGGCTGGGCTGTGTCTATGAAGGATGGTAATGGTGGGACGTTGCACGGAAGAGCTCATTCCCTGGAGATCTCCTAAGAGTTGGGCATAGCCGAGTCTAGGATGAATTAGGCCCCTCCTGGCTAGAGTTATGGTAGTAGGAACAATGCCTCCTGAGAGACCCGAATGGTCCCCAAATTGTACCCACATCCACATTCACTGTGTGAGGAATGTTACTTCCCCTAAGAACCTCCAACAGTCCTATAGCCAAATTCAGAAAATACTAGGGTAGGCCCAGTAACACATCCGCCTTCTCTGCAGGATTTGTAACTCTGACCATGCAAGCAGGCACAGCGTGTCTCATTTGAATGTCTCATCAATGAGCACTTCTATCTCATGCCATCGAGGCTCTCTGAACACAGCTTGAGAAATGCTGCCCTAAGGAGCTGGGAACAAAATATTTATCACGGGGCAGGAGGTTGGCGAGATTCACTACTGGACAGAGAGACCATTTATAACCCAGCAGTTGCTACAAGGGAAACACACTTTCCATTTCCTCTTTCTCTTAACAAATTCTTAACTCCTCCAGGTTCCCTTTCAGGAGGCCCCTAATTTGTACTTACAAATTAGTTCTCATTAAAGTCCAAATGGGGTTCATGAGGCGCCCTTTCTCCATCTATCCCCAAGCTCCATTTTTCTAACAAGGAACTCATTATAAAACTAAGAATAATGAAAGCCTAATTTCATGGTACATTCGTCCTATCAGGCACTGTGCTAGGAGTTTTGTGCAGATCCTCCTTTCAATTATTCACTCATTCACGCTTCCTTTCAGTTAATTGAACTTCGAGCTACTTCCTCTTTGCCCACCTGCCACCTTCCAAGCAGCAGCAGGCATGTGGAAGGGTATGGAGGCCCTGCGAAAATAATTCTGTCCTTCCTCCCACCCCAGCCGGGGCTAACCCCACTCTCTCACGAGAAGCAGACTCTAAGTGCACAACAACTGCAGACAGAAATAACTGCATCCCCAGCACTCTGTGGATGCTGCTTGGGTCGCTCTCTGTGAAGGTGTAATCGCAACATGTACCACTTTTTCCTCAGCACTTGCGGGCAATTTGCATAAATCATCACGGATCCTCCCAACAACCTGGGCCAGTAAGGTCTGAGGCTCCGAGAAGCTACCTGGTTTACATGGATTTGAATCCAGAGCCATTGGGCTGTGAAGCCTAATTTCTTTCTGAGGTACCATCCTCCTCCAGCTGTGAGGATGACAGAGGAATTAATTTTTTAAATCATCAATCAGCAAAGGAGCCCCCAGATAAAATCCAGGAGGATTGCTTAACAAGATAAATATGTCCCAGGCCTGGCACCAGGGCAGTTCCAGCCTTGACTTCCCAGCAAAGCATCAACTCCACTTTCTCCTTGAAGAGGCTGCCAGGTAGGGATGAGACATCCAGTTATATTTGGATTTCAGATAATCAGCAAATAATGTCTGAGTATGAGAAGTCCCAAATGTTTCAGGGGTCATACTTATACCAAGAGCAAAATATCCAGTTTTGCTTATTTGAAACTTACATCTGAGTGTCCCAGGTTTTTATTTGCTAAATCTGGCAACTCTGTCCTGAAGTCGAGGCACAGTGGGAGTCTCCAGCCTGGCTCCAGGTCCCAAGCTTTGCTCCAAGAGGAGTTGCCATGGCAGCCTGAGCACAAATTCCAGGCCCTGGAGGACTTGACATTTTCCTCCCCAGTTTCCCCCAGCCTCTGCGTTCAAGGCTCCCAAGGAGCCCAGGTACTTCCAGTTTCCAGGGTGTGTGGAGTTGGCCCTTCCTGCTGCTCTCCACTGCGGCACTGTGCACTTTCCACCCAGGGCTGGCTTTACCCTCTTTCCCTTGCCTGACTAATTCCTATGGATCCTTCAGTTTGCCATTTACAGTTCCTTCTGCCAGAAAGCCTTGGGCCACCCTGACCCGCTCTGCCCACCCCCCTGGAGGCCTGGACCCCCTCGCTGAGAGGCAGAGTCCGTCTCAGTCTCCCTGCACCTAGCACTAGCACCTGGCTGCAGGTAGGAGGGCAGTCAGTGAATGAAGGCAGGCTGTCCCGCCAAAGCTGGTCCTCTGAATAAGCTCCCTTCCTCCCTTCCGTCCTGAGTCACTTTTTCACTGAGGCACCCTCTCCCTGCCCTCCCCTGGCAGCTGTGAAAGGCAGGGGCACAGGGCAGCTGGACTCCCTGGGTGAGCAGAGAGCAGCCTGCGCTTGGAGCTACCCCCTGGGACCCCTCACCTTGCGCGTGCCATGGGCCCTGCCTCAGGGAGCTCCAGTCTAGCTGCTGGGGTCCTTAAAGCTCTTCTGCCTCTGGCTTCCAAGTCCTGGCTCAGCCCACCCCAGGTCAAGACCTGGCCCCTTACAGAGTGCAGGGTCTCACTGCCAGTTTGGGGGTGCAGGGAGCCTTGGCCGGGGTTAGGGCAGGTAGCCCAGGCTGATGGCCCTCAGAACACCACCCATATGCTCCGCCTTCACCCACCCAAGCTTTGCCCACGCACAGCCTGGCAGCGGGAGCCAGTAGCACAGTGCTTAACCCTTGCGGGCATCCGGAAGGCAGCTTCCACGCAGCGCTAACTTTACTGCCCACAGCACATGCACGCACACAGGCACGCATGCACACAGAGCCCAGTTTGGGGATTGAGAAAATGCCCGCCACGGGGGAGGGCAAGGAAAACGAAGGAGGAGGGAGGTGGGGAGCGTGCCCCCCGGGAGTTCCCCAGGGCCAAAGGACAAGGGGAGCAGGCAGAGGCCTGGGGCGAGCCGAAGTTGGACTCGGAGCCGCTGCTGGCTTAGTGGCTCCAGATCTGCCTTTCCCGGCCGGACACTCCTCCTGCGCCCTGGCGCGTGGCCCCCGCCTCCCCGGGCAGAGTACTGCAAGAGGGCAAAAGCGGGAAACACCGTTCGGTCTCAAAATAACTAAAAATAGAGCCTCCTCCCCCTGCGGACGCTAGCGAGCTCCGGGCTCGCTCGCTCCGATTTCCCGGGTCAGTCGCTCGTTTTCCAGGAAGTCCTGGGCGGGTCCAGGTACCCCGAGAGCCGGGACTATCGCCCCCTCCAACCCCTTCCACCTCGTCAAGCCTTCCACTCCCGACCTCGGCTCGGCCGCGAGTCGCGGGAGGGGACTCACGGGGCGGGAGCGCGGACGCCAGCGACGACTCCTAGGGCTTGGCCAGGTGAGTCGGGGGCCGCGCAGGTGCGAGCGTCGCGCGGCGGCCCGGGCAGCGGCTGAGTAACAGGCTGACAGGTTGGTGCTTCCCCCTCCTCCTCCCAGTCGTTAACCCCACCCCGCCGCTCGCCTCCCCACTTCCTTAAAGGGTGGGGTTGCCGTCGGCGTGTGCCTGCCCCAGCCTCTTACCATAAACTCTGAAATAGACGCTGCCATCAATTCCCCCAGCGGCCTGCCGACCCGGAGCCCTCCCTGCCTCGGCCCGGTGCCGCTCACAGCGCGGCCTCCGAGGGCGCCTTGGAGCGGGGAGCGCCGTGCTGGGTGGCAGCCCGCATGTGGGACCTCCTTGGTGACATCCTCTACCCCTAGCATGTTGGATCGGTCGCTCCCAGGAGAATAGGAAAGCCACGCCTTTAGGTGGTTACACTGCATTCTCCCGTCTCGGAAGAGAAAGTGGAGTCTTGGACTCAATAACAAGGCAGAAAAATCCATGTTTCTCAGGGGGCAGTGGTGGCTGGGAGGGGCTTTAACCCCAGTGCCGCTCTGCACGGCGGAGAATCGGAGCGTGGAGCCAGGGCTCACCTGCCCCAGCGCGGCCGGTCACGGCCCGCCTTTGGTCATCCTGCCCACCGGCTTGTGACGCCCAGAGCCAGACTGTGGCCGGGAAGGAGAGACAAGGCAAGGCCAAAGGCGTGAGCTGAAGTTAGCAAGAAAAGTGTGCGGGTGATGAGGCGCGGACCTGACCGACCGCGCAGCACGGGAGCCGCCGGAGGGCATCGAGCAGCGGGCGGCCCTTCCGGCTTCCTGTTGGCGAGGCCGACCCGCACCTGAGCGAGTCCCGGGTCTGCAGGAAGGTGGTGGCTTGGGAACTAGGAGCAAAGTCGCTGTTTTAAGAAAAGATGTGTTTGTGTCTGCTGCCCCTGTGTGGCCACATGCACGAACTACACTCTCGTCTCTGCCTGACCTGATTCTGGGGAAAGGCACGTTTTCAGAGGCTGTTGATTTCTTCAGCACTGTTTTGCAGTTCTACGACTTAGCTCCTAAAAAATCACAGAATCGTAGGTTTGTTTTTTGTTTTTTAAAGTAAAACTATCTTGAGGAACTCCCGAGGGTGGCCAATTCTGCCTTCAAGCATCCTTAGTTTTTGACTCTAAAAGACGGAGGGCATTCATTTCTGTTATTTACCTTTTAATGAGCAAATGTTTTCTCTAGCTCAAAACTTTTGCAATTAGATGTTCCATTCAGATCTAATTACCCCAGATCCAGGCCTAAGTCATGCATCATATGCTTGGCAACAGACCCCCTTCCACCCTTCCCCTTGAGGGTTTCCGGGGCACCAGCTGTTAGGCTTTGGGGATCTCTAGTCGCTCTTGTCCTCTTTCAGTGCCCCACGGCCATGCACTCTCTGGGCCCTGGAAGTCCTTCCAAGCGTCTTTCTTATGCATTTTTATCTCATTGCATCGTTCCATGCTGGCTCACTGTTCTCTTTGGCACTTGGATGGCCGTTGGTGGAAGGGTCTTCCTTACCCGTCTCCCACTCCCTGACCTGGGAGTCGTTGTGACTGGATCTCATGGAAGTGGCCTGAGGATGGAATTTGGAACCACAAGAACGCATGAGATCATCTAGCACGAGAATAAGAGGAACCAGGGAGCTTAATGTCAGTCCAGCTCCCCCCAGGATTACATCACCCAATTTTATTGGCCATGGGTGATCAACTCACCTTCATCTCTCTGATATCATGGATTTGTTCCACTGTTTTAAGTGAAAGTTGAAGACTGGGATATTCCTTCGCATGCCACACCCCATGGAAGTGAAGGGAAGAGGCAAAACTCAAATGGTGTGGGGTGATGAGAAGCTGGAAGTGAAAGTTGTGGCTGGGAAGGCGAGATTGAGGGAGGGAAGTTGAAAGAGGGCTGTTTGTTTAGAATGACAGCCAGCAGAGCACGTGTCCATGCACAGGGCAAGGATCCAGTCGTGAGGGAGGGGGTTGCAGCTCAGGCCAGTGAATCCCTCTCTTTGTGCTCGTGCAGCTCACACCCACACCACAGTTTTGCCTTCCTAGGTGCCAGTTACCCGTGCTCAACAACAGAAGGACGAGTAGGGTACAATAAGATATTGGGGAAGGGGATGACTATCACTCATAACTTCCGGCATAGCATTTTATTATTTCTTTTATAATTGTTACTGCTTTTCATGTCTCTCTCTCTCTCTCTCCCTCCCCCCTCCCTCTCTTTTGAGACAAAGTCTTATTATGTAGCCCCAGGCTGGCCTTGAACTCACAGCCATCCTCCTGCTTCAGCCTCCTGAGTGCTGGGATGAGAGGTGTGTGCCACCATGCTGGCTTCTGCTGTTCATCTCGACAGTGACTTATTTATAGATGTAACTTTATCATAGGTCCGGCGCCCACTGGGAGCCTTGGAACTTATGCCCCTCCGATATCAGGGGACAACTGTATCTCCTAATCAAGAAGGTAAGAAGAGTAAGTACTATCTGCTCTACCTATTTCACAGGTATTGTGAAGCCCAAATTAAGTGAACATATTATAAGAATACTCTGGTTACTATTTTTTAGAAGGCATAAGGATTAAACGGGGTAGAATTAGTGGGAGAGATTACACACATACTTGCCATACAGATGTAATTTGCTGAATGTCCACTGTATGCCAAGAATTTTCATCTGTTATTTGGTCAAACTACACAGTCATTATTGAGGTAGGTGGAATTGTTCCTGCAGTATTTTGTAGAAAAGAAGAGGAAGCTTGAAGAAGGGAAATAATTTGTCTACAGCCACCCAAGTGCCAAAGAGCAGAGCTGAATCTAAACCACTGATGGAATTTCATTACATAATGTAAACTTACTATTAGAATAAACCTCATTCTAAAAGAACAGTATAGTTATAAATGTTTTGAACTGAAAAAGGCAAAGAAAAAACTTGTAGGTACAATAACTAAATAATTAAAGTCTTTCATCACTGAGGGATCTCTTTCTAATTTAACTAGGTATTGCTAAGTTCACTAAATGAATCACAATTGAAGCCAAAATAAAGAATTTTAAACCATGCCCTGAACTTTAAAAGGACCCTTTAGTATACTCACAAAGGTAACCATTTCTCTTTTTGCTCTCAATAATTTAATCTCATTTTTAGCTGGTCACAGGTTGCCCAAAATATGGGCTCCATTTCCCAGTGTCCCTTGCAGGTGTGATGGTCTGATTGAGTGCGGGGCAGTGGTTGGTGGGTAGAAGCTATGCATGTGACCCTAGGATCCTGCCCTCAGGGAGTGAGTACATCGTCCAGGACTCCCTTCTCTTCTCTGCCCCTGACAGTGGAACCTGGAGCAGTCACCTTGGTCTATGCCGCTGAGAACAGCCAGGCCACACTAGAGATGAAGTCTGGGTCCCTCAGGCCATTCAGCCACAATACTTACCCTGGGCATGGCCTGGGCCAGGAGAACTGTTACAGGGGGAGAAAGAAACATTTATGTTACTGCATTTGGGGCCCTTCTGTTACAATAGATGAACTGCGTCTGTGATAGTTTGATGTGATAAGAAACATATTTGGTCACCACCTGGCATTCCTGGCACACAACTCCTGAAATCTCCAGAATCTCCAGAGCAATGACTGTCTTTTGGTATGCCAGTGACATGACCGGTGGCTAGGGCTGCTAAATAAACTCAGGATGGAGGCTGTCCCCAGAAAGACTGAGGGAGGATAAAAGGCTGGGACCTCGAACGAGGAGAGAGGATGAAGGTGAGTTGATAGCCAGTGGCCAATGAGATTGGTTAACCTAATCAGTGATGTCTGTGAAGTTTCCCTAAAAACTAAAAGAGATAAAGTTCAGAGAGCTGAACATGTGAAGGTGCCTGGTGGAGGACACTCTAGAGAGGAGACGGAAGCTCTGCAACACCTGGCCTTGTGCATCTCCTCTACCTGGCTGTTCACCTATGCCCTCTGCAATGCCCTTTATAATAACCAGGCAAATGTAAGTGAAGTGTTTCCCTGAGCTGTGTGAACTGCTCTAACAAATTAATGGAACAAGAAGAGGGATTCAGGGAAACCCTGAGTCATGGTCAGCCATTCAGAAGCACAGGTCACAAGCTAGGACTTGTGACTGTCATCTGAAATGGGGCAGTCTTGTGGGACAGAGGTCCTGAATCTGTGGGCTATTTCTTTCCAGGTAGGCAATGTCAGAATTGAATGGTATTGGAGGACACCAAGCTGGTGTCCTGTACCAGAGAACTGGTTGTTGGCGGGGAGAAACTTACACATCTAGGATCAGAAGTGACTATTGAGTGGTGGGAGAGTAGAAAGAAGAAAATAATGTTTTTCTTTTTCCTTCAGAGCATCTTAACATATGACCATTTAGCCTGTTTTCTTCTAGATACACATTAAGACAGAACCTCAAAGTCCTCATCTAGAAAATGAGATTTACTTACCTTCTATGGTTGTTGGAATGACTAGAAGTAATATGTACATGAACTACAGACAATGCTGTAGTTCACGGATGACAGTTAATGGGGAGTATGGTCTGTTATAACTTATAAAAATGAGTTCCTAAAAAGAAACACAAGATTGCTTTAAAATATTTAAAATTTCACCTCAACTGCTCTCAAAAAAATGTGGAGGGGAAAGATGAAATGATAATAGCAAATTGATAATGCACGAAGGCATGTTAGGCTGTTCTCTCTTAAATACTGAATGTATTTGAAAATGTTAAAAAAAAGTTAAAATAAATGAACAAAAAAGATCTTCCCATAGAGAAATAAAGGAGGGGATCTGGACATCATCCAACGTGCATTACCTTGGGAAAAATAAAGATGTATGCACACCATTCAGAAATTGATTTGGGTTCCTAAGAAGGAGGGTGAGGTGGAAAGGTGTGAGTGTCTGCACTGGAGAACAACAGGGAGAACGTGCCTCAGTGTTGCAGAGCCCCAGTGCTTCCCACCACACTGGGCAATGACTCTGAGCCACTGTAGCTCCCGCGTGGCTACAGAACTGTGGCTACAGGATGCAGAGGTGTACAGAGTGGCTGCACGAGAGAGGAGCCTGGCCTGTTGTCCTGCTCACCCTGAGTCGGCACCATAATTTATGTGACTTCGGTCTTTTCAGCTCTCAATC